CGAATTCCCCTACCCATAACCCAAACCCTTATCCGCAGCCCACTGCCCCAACCCCACCCTACCAGCAACCCTACCCCAACCCCAACCACCCCACTGCCCTTGCTCACACTCTCGAAAATCTCAGCCTGAACTCCCATCCGACCTGGATCATGGACACTGGAGCCTCTCACCATATCACCGCTGACCCAGGTACTTTATCTCATGTATTTACTTCAAACATTTATTCACCCTCATATTATTGTAGGAAATGGATCTAAAGTGTGCACTACAGCCTCTGGTAACGGTCTCCTTAACACAAACCCTCCCCTTTCCCTGAAAAATGTCCTTGTCTCCCCTCATATTATCCATAACCTTATTTCGGTCTGTCAATTTACTCGTGATAATAACTGTTCCGTTGAATTTGACTCTTTCGGTTTTTCTGTGAAGGACAAACGGACGGGAGCCGTGATTCATCGATCCAGTAGTGACGGACATCTCTACCCGCTATCTCCAGGCCAACCCCCAGCACATCTTCACCTAGCCAAAGTCGACTTGTCCACGTGGCATCGCCGACTTGGCCACCCAAGCCCCGCAGTTCTCCATGGCGTCTCTTCCTATTTTGATAGTTTTAATAAATCTCAGTTAGACTCTTTATGTCATGCATGTCAGTTAGGCAAACATGTTCGCCTTCCTTTTCAGTCCTCGAGTCGTGTATCTCTTTTTCCATTTCAATTATTGCATACAGATTTATGGCAATCGCCTGTTCCTAGTGTTACTGGATTTAAATTCTATATGATCTTACTGGATGATTACTCACATTATTTATGGATTTTTCCTCTACGTCACAAATCTGATGCTTACTCCCATCTTGTAAAATTCCATGCAATGGTCAAAAATCAATTTCACACAAGCATCAAAGTTGTTCAATGCGACAATGGCACAGAATATAGAAATAATCCACTAGCCACTTTCTTTGAGTCCTTGGGTATTCTTTTTCGTTTTTCCTGCCCATATACTAGCCAGTAAAATGGACGCGCAGAACGCACCATCCGCACCTTAAATAACACAGTATGCACCCTACTTTTTCAAGCCAATCTCCCACCTCAATTTTGGGTTGAAGCCCTTCATATGGCAACTCATCTTTTTAATTTATTACCCACCACCACCCTTCACAACCGTACACCACACGAAGCCTTATATCACACCCCTCCATCCTATAAACATCTCCGTGTCTTTGGTTGCCTTTGCTACCCAAATCTCTCCGCCACAACACCCCACAAACTAGCCCCCCGTTCTGCGCGTTGCATCTTTCTAGGCTACCCCGAGTCTCAACGTGGCTATCGGTGTTTGGATCTCTCGACTCAGAAAATTATTGTCTCCAGACATGTTACCTTTGATGAGTCCACTTTCCCATACTCACCCCCACAATCCCCATCTTCTTACGACTTCCTCGACGCCATGGAGGATTGCATTGCCCCACACTTCCGCCACCTCCAAAGCCAATCACCCCACTCGACTCACACCACCCTGCTCCCACCTACGGCCCAAAACACCCCCTCTATCCCCATCAACTCCCACGGCCCANGCAAATGCCGTAGCTGAAGTTAGTTGGGTACGCAACTTACTCCTAGAGCTTCAGCAACCTCTAAGCCGCTCCACCTTGGTGTTCTGTGACAATGTTAGTGCTGTTTATCTCTCTGCCAATCCTGTCAAACACCAACGCACAAAGGCATATCGAGGTTGATATCCACTTCGTCCGAGACAAGGTAGCCCTTGGACACATACGAGTCCTCCATGTACCTTCCTCCCTGCAATATGCGGACATCTTTACAAAGGGCCTCCCAACCATGGTCTTCTCAGAATTTCGTGATAGCTTGGGGATCCGACAATCATCGCCAGTGCCGTTGGGAGCATGTTAAATATAGTCCTTCTATATTTAATATATTACGTATATATTATTATATTGTGTATATCCTAGTTACCATATATGCCTAGGTTTCCTTGTATTGTATTTTCCTAATATACCTAGGATTCTCCTAGTATATATTCCCTTGTATTATCACATTGTAAACTATTGGAAAATATCAAATCTTTCACATAACAATCACTCAATAACGAATTCTAAGGAGAATGAATCAACTTATGGAGCTAAGAAGTCCAAATTCCTTAAAATCAACGAACACAAAAGCACGACAAAGAGTCACATATGAATTCGGAAATCATTTAACTACCTTATGGAGCTAAAATAGCTTCAACAAAAACCGAATTCCACATACCAACCTACTTATGAAATCGAATTATGCAATTCAACCAATTCAACAACAACTTGCTCAATAATTGAAGAAAAACTTGTTTGAATCAATTCTCATTCATAAGGGATTTAATATAAACATTAAAAAAAACATAAAGAACACCAACCATTTTTAGAATTTTATGAAATTAACATAAACAAGGTAAAAAAAAGTGTAAATTAGAATTGAAAAACAACTTTTACAAAGAAATTGGAGAAGAAAAAGAAATTGACAAATAAGGGTTACCACTTGGAGAAGATGATGAAATTGAAGAATTGGAACTGTGATGGAACCATAATCAAAGCTGGAGGTCGCCGCCCACCGCCGGAACTACTGCCGCCGCCATAGCAGCGGCCAAGCCGCTGCTTTATTTCCGTGATTCCCCCCTCTTGTCAGCTGTGATTTGTCTTCAATTTATAGCCGAAGGATTGTTCCGTTGATTTCTTCCCGTTGGCAATTGATTCTAGCGATAAATGTGGGGGAGCGTTGAAGGAGTTACGCTGATTTTTTTTCCGTTGAAGAAGAAAGCCGCTGCTCAATGAATTTGCCGATGAAGACGTACGAAATGCAGATATTTTTCTTCTTACGCTGGATTAGAATGAAGAGAGGACCTTCTTATGTTGGGTTTGGGCTTCGGCCCAAATTCAATACCTTCTTTTAAAACTTGGACTTCTAATTCAGCCTTTTGCTACATTTTTCCAAAAGAATATGATATCTGATAATTTGGGTTATGAAAAATAAAAATAATAGAATGTAAAAAAAATGATAAAAAAGCTACTCTATTTATGAAAGAAAATAAAAAGAAGGCAAAAATGAGAATTAAAATAAAACTAAGCTAAACTACTAAAAATTAAACTCTAAAAATATTAAAAATACCTAAAATTGAATAAAAAGAACTAAACCAAACCCGGCTTATCAAATACCCCCACACTTAAGACTTGAACGTCCTCGTTCAAAAGACCAAAAAGAGAAACCATTTGAATTTCAATCATAATAAAAAAAAACAAAATGCACTTTACACCCTCACTCCAAAGACTTTATGCTAGGGCTGGGTCGGGAAAACCGAAAATCGAAAACCGAACAGAAATCGATCGAAACGAGCTAGAAAAAAAACCGAACCGAAAAAACCGAAACCGAATGTAGAAAAACCGAACCGAACCATTATTGTTTGGTTCCGTTTTGGTTTTTACTTTGAAAAACCGAACCGAATAAACCGAACTTATTTATATGCTTCATTTTATTTATATGGGTATATGTGATATGTATAAAAATCATATAAACAAAAATGCAAATAAATTACTAGTCGATTAAAGTTTTTTTCTTAACTATTAATTAAACATTTTAACCATATTATAAACTTTAAAAAATCTAAGAATATAAACACCAATAACTAATCCTAATATAGAATTATATAACATTAAAAATTAAAATGAGTAGTTAATATATTTACATAAAAAACTTTGATGTTATAATGAAAATGAAAGTATTATATCAAAAAAATACAAATTCTCTGCAATTGATTTTACATACGATATCTTTACGATTATTTAGAATCTTCTAGATGCTTGTTATGCACTTGACACATATTTTGTATGTAAAATTTAACCGATGAGAACACTAATATTCTGTTCGGTTTTTTTTTTTGTGTAAAAATCAAGCAAAAAAACCAAACCCAAACTTACGTATTGTTATTGCTTCGTCGGGTTAGTATTTATACAATTTTTAATGCTTATAAATATTTACTTTTATAAACCGAAAAAACCGAAAAAAACAAAGATAAAAACCGCATAAAACCGAACTGAATAACCAACGATTTACATATTTTTTATGCAAAACCGAACCGAACCGAACCGCCAACTTACCTTCCGTTTTGTCTTTAGTTTTGGGTAAAAACCGAACCGCCAAAACCGAACCCACCCCTACTTTATGCCCAAAACATTTTTGAAAACAAAGCGAGCTACAAATCCTACAAGGAAGAAAATCTAAACTGAGGATTAATCGCGTTCTACAAAAAATGCTCTAAAGTTGCCACAAAAAAGTTTCCTAAAGGAATTCTAATGGTTTAAAATGGCCTAATGGCAACGGTAGCAAAATTTTAAAAAATAAGCCTAAAAAATGAACAAATTTCTAAAAATAAAATATTCCTAAAACCGGTTCATTTTAGATTTTAAATACCACACAAGGTTAATAAGAACAGCATCTAGATAGTATGTGGATGGCCAGTTCTAGAAAATAAAATTCTAAAAAAAAACTAAAAAGATTCAACTTTAAGGTCATTTACTTAGAAAATGGGCATTAAGACTCAAGAAGAGTTTGCAAGGAATCATTTGTTATCTTTCTGAACAAAGCTCAAAGAGAAAAAAATGAGGTTTTTGGGTCTTTTTTAAAACAATGCTCTAAATAAGAAGATATGCAACTAAGAATAACAAAATATTTGGACCCAAAACATATTTTGAAAAAAAAATTGCCCAAAAATCAACCTCCCAAAACAACGGAATAAACATGAGAACCTCCCCCCACACTTAAATCATGCATAGTCCTCAATGCATCTATATGATACGACAATATTAAGAAAGCACAAACTTAGCGAGGAGAGAAGGGATGGGGAGATTCAACTAAAAAGTATACGCAGCATCAACGCATCACTTCCAATCTTTATCATGTTTTTCTTGGACCTAAAAATCTGCAAAAAGAAGGCTAAGACCAAGTATTTTAGCGTTTAAGAACAAAAACAATTCTGATTTTTTCCATTCTAGCACATTGAAGCTGTGAAAAGTGTAGAATTTTCATTTTGCACTAAAAAAACAGCTCACAAAGTGCATATTTTTCAGTTTATAGCCCAAAAATCAAACAGAGAAGTGCAGATTTTTTCCATTAGTACCCAAAAATTAGCCTCAAAAGTGCAGAATATTTCAGTTTTCAAACCATAAATGATCAAATATAAACACCCAAGACTTAAGAAAACTGAAACTTAATAGCATAACAACACCTGGGCAATCGAGCTCCTATTCCAAAACAGATTTGCACCCAATTGTGCAGATTTTTACTCCAAACAGAGATGCTCCAACCTATAACTCAACAAATCTTGCAAAAAGCTCTTAAAGAAGATGGTTAGAGGCACAAGTGAAGTAAAAATAAACAATTAAGCTCAACATGATCACTTTTTTTGTTATGACTTTATACTTTAAAAAACTAAATGAATGAGAAAAGAAAAAAAAAATTCCTATGATTACAACAAGTACTATTACATCAATACAGGAAAAAAAAGTAAGAAAGGTAAGTTGGTTATTAAAAGAAAGAAAAAGAAAATCTAATTAAGGACCACAACTAACAACAAGTTAAAGTTAGAAGTAAGCATAAGCAACTTAAAGAAAAATGAAAAAAAATGTTATAAACGTTAGTGGGTCATGTTAAAAAAAGTATAGAAAGAGGGGAAAAAATGTAAACAACAACTATACGAGAAGAAGAAAAAAAAACAACAATTACTAGAAGTTAGAAGTAAAAAGATTTTTTTTTTTAAAAGAAAAATGACAAAAAACTTAAAAAGAAAGTGGGTTGCCTCCCATAATCCACCAGATTTAAAGTCTTTGGCTAGACAAAGCTTACTACTTGCAAACAAATATTCACTAAAGGCATAAAGTAGTAAGATGTATGTGTTTCTTTAAAACAACTCTAAAAAGATGTGTAAAATTAAGAATCCAACTTTTGTTTCCAACTTATATAAATAATAACACTTGAAGCTTAGTTGGGAAACAAAATTCAGATTCTATGTGCAAAATTTAAACTTCAAATCAGTTTTTAGAACGTAAGTTTCTGCATTTTTGCACTTTGACATCAAAACTTAGCATATTAGGGTCAAATTCAGAGTGCAAAAACAAGCTAAATACCTCCAAGTCAGTTCCTATGCATGTATTTAACAATTAAAGTACATAATTCCAAAAATAGGCATCTTAGGAACTCAAATTTAGCATGAAAATTAAGCAAAAATGTTGCAGATTTTTTTGAATGATAAAGCATTTCAGGACAGAGTTTTTGCAAATTCAGCTTAAAGGGCATGTAAAAACATGCCAAGTGCTCCCGAATAAGTTCCTATGCAAGTTTTTGATAAATAGAATTCAAAATTCAACAAATGAGCATCTAAGGAACTAAAAAAATCAGATTATCATTGAAAAAGGTTGCTGACTTTTTTTAAAGAGATGCAATTCTTATCAGGTTTGTCTTAAAAACAACACTTATAGCATCAAAATTATCATATAAACACCATGGTATGCTTATAAAGTTGTCCCTAAGCAAGATTTATCAATTCTAGTTCATATTTCAAGCAAAGAAACACTCTAAGGGACAAAAATTAGCACATATGTTAAATAAAAAGTGCAGAATTTAGAAAAATCAGCAACTCTTAAATCATTTTTTCCTTGCATATTTAGCTTGAAATGCATCCAAATCAGCACACAACTCTTTGCATAATCAAACCATACATGTTGTGTTAGCCTTGGTTTGCTAAGCCTCATGTTTTGATGTTAACAAACAATATAAGAGCTTAACGTTTGTTTAAGTGTTTCAGGAAAAACAAGAATCCATTAAGATTCGGTACTCAAGAATGAAGTCGAAACACTAAACTAGCGTAGAATATAGGTAGAAACCAATGTAAGGATATGACTTTATATACCTATATTCACAAGCTCAAAAGCACTCACAAAATATGTTTAAAAACCATATCATAAACATTTTCAAACATCTAAAAGGCTTTAAACTCAAACACGAAGGATTAAGGATATTTTGAAAAACGCAAGACTGTAGCACGGGACCCCCCTACCGTCTGCACGGGACCCCCCTACCGTTTGGACGGGACCCCCCTACCGTAAGGGTCCTGTAAGAGATAGGTACCGTAAGCACGGGACCCCCCTACCGTATGGACGGGACCCCACTACCGTATGGACGGGACCCCCCTACCGTGACCGTTAGGTTACTGTTCCTGATTTGTGATTTTGAATTAAATCAACCCTAATCACCTCCCAACGGCTAATTAACATCTTCCACTATAAATACAAGCCTAATCCTTCATATTTCTTCAAGAAA